AATTTAACAGAAATAGCAGTTCCGGGACTTAGAAACCTTCCATATCAGGATAGGTTAAAGAAACTTAACTTGCATTCCCTAGAAAGACGAAGAGTGCGGGGAGATATGATAGAAGTATTTAAGTGGGTGAAAGGAATCAATAAAGGGATATAGATAAAGTTCTTATAATATCCGAGCAGGATAGGACTCAGAGCAACGGATTCAAGTTGGATAAGTTTAGGTTTAGGAGGGAGATAGGAAGAAACTTGTTCACAAATAGGGTGGTAGACGAGTGGAACAAGCTTAGCAACTTTGTAGTAAGTGCGGGAACTCTGGAAAGTTTCAAAAGGAGGCTAGATAGATTCATGGATGATAGAGAGTGGTAGTAACTCTCGACAGGAGCTGCCATGCACAGGCCAACCGGCCTATTGCAGACTCCTTATTTTCTTATGTTCTTATGTTCTAATGTTTGGGTAATAGACAACGACGAGGTAAGATTGAAATTATTGTTTAGATATGTAGATGAGTGTGTGTGTGTGTGTGTGTGTGTGCGTGTGTGTGTATGTGTGTAATTTATAATCATAATAATTACCGGTTTATTGAAAGAGCATGGCAGCCGGAAGGCTGAAAATATACAATTACATAATTGGGGAATGGGTCTCTGGATTTACAAATGACGTACACGTAAAATAAGTGATACAAATAAGATATATAATAATTAGGTGTAAACAGGGAAACCGGATACCAGATGAACAACGATGCCATAGAGAAATCCGACTGCGAGAGAGATTTAGGAGTAATGATAACTAGGAACCTTAAGCCAAGTAAACAATGTGTTTTTGCTCGTAACAAGGCTAATAAAGTACTTGGGTTCATACAAAGGAGTGTTAGTTACAAGACTAGAGAGGGCATCCTAAAACTGTATCTTGCTCTTGTGAGACCACACCTGGATTACGCAGTTCAGTTCTGGTCACTGTATTACAGAATGGATATAGAATCATTGGAAAGAATTCAGAGGAGAATGACAAGACTAATCCCGGGCATTAGGAACCTTGAGTATAGAGACAGGTTAAAGCACCTTAATTTTCACTCCCTCGAGAGATGTAAAGCGAGAGTCGACATGATAGAGGTGTATAAATGGGAGTCAGGGCTAAACAAAGGGGACATTACAAAGGTACTCAAACTATCCAACTAGGAGCGAACTCGTAACAATGGTTTTAAATTAGACAAATTTAGATTTAGGCGTGAAATAGGTAAACACTGGTTTGGAAACAGAGTTGTGGATGAATGGAACAAGTTACCAAATATCATCATTAACTCGAATACGCTGAATAGCTTCAAACATATGTTGGATGCTTATATGAGCAATAGGGGTTTGGTGTAAACGGGACTGCCCAGTATGGGCCAATAGTCCCGCTGCAGTTTCCTCCATTCTTATGTTCTTATGTTTAATCAGTTCATGCTCGTATGGACTGGATGCGGTTGGGCAGGTGTGTGGCCATGTGGACAGGACAGTAGCTTGGGGCAATGCAGGTGTCCTTCAGGTTAGGTCACGTGAAGCCGTGAGGTCAGGTCAGGTTAGGTCAGATCCAGCCACACTTAGTATTGCTGTGTTTTTGTGCTTTTCCATTGAATTAAAATTGCCACTTTTGTATATCACTTGTGGGTTGATCGTCAATCTTTGCACGGTACTGTTGGTGTGATGATGTTGATAAATCCAGTTGGGAAAGAGGAGATTGGAGAGGGGAGGGCCCAACAGACTGGGCTGGCAGCTGTCTCCATGGTCAAGAGACCACGGCTGCGTTAGCGGGCAGCGCCGACGACACATGTCCTTAACCTATTGAAAGCTGAGGGAAGAGTGTGTGTGTGTGTGTGTGTGTGTGTGGAAGTCCTTCGACTCGGTCAACAGGAAAGCCGCTTCCATCATTAAACTTCAGTATGAAGGAGATCTCACCCTCGTCGCTCATACTGAACGTGGCCCACAGAAGATCCTGTAAATCTACACAGATACGTATGCACACTTTGGCCGTGAGATGAATGTATGTAGGACTAAAATTTCTTTCAGGATGCCCCTGGTTCAACCACACCCCCATTCATCCAGGTTAACGGTACTACCCTCTCTAATATTACCCACTTTCAGTACCTTGGCACCCACCTATCCACCACTGCAGACATTGATGAAGGGATTCAACATCGAATCATATGTGTACCTCAAGACTTTGGCAGACTCCTTACCCATGTCTTCAGTTGTAGAGAGCTGAAATTATCTACAAAGTTGCACGTATTTCTAGCAGTGGTCCTCCCCACCCTGTTGTATGGCAGCGAGACATGGGTCACATACAGGAGGCATCTCAAGGCACTAGAAACTTTCACTAATGTAGTCTACGTTCCATCCTCCGAGTTCGCTAAAAAGACAAGAGAACAAATGCCAGTATTTTCGCTGACACCAGCTGTAGGATAATTGAGGCTACCATTATCCATGAGCAATTACTTTGGACTGGCCATGTTACCTGCATGGACGAAAGTAGACTGCCAAAACAGTTACTTTATAGTCATCTAACGAATGGTAAACGTAATGCTAGCCCGCAACGGAAACGGTAGAAGGATAGTCTAAAGACAAAACTGAAAAGTGCCAAACAGGGAGATCACACCGTAACACTTAGATGATCACCACGCGAGAAAATGTCAACACTTTCGAGTTAGCCCGATTGTATACCGAGGCAGAAAACTAAGGTGATATCTTTAATAACATATGTCATTGTATCATAGCTGGATGATCGTCATCCTAGATTTCCGAGTGGCAGCAAAGTAGTTGTAGTAGAAATGTGTGTGTGTGTGTGTGTGTGTGTGTGTGTATTAGTGTTGTGCATGTGTGTATGGGTGTATCTGTTTTGTGTGTGTATGTGCATTGTGTGTGTGTGTGTTAAGCTGCATACCTACATATACATACAAATCTTTCAAACACTCACACCAATAAAATCATTGGTAGCAAAAATTATTATCCCAGGATCGCTCACAAGTGTGTTCAAAAATTGTACGGACACCAGAAAAAACAGACAACATTTTATGATCATTTAACTTTGAACACTGAAATGCTTTCCAGTGAGCTCACGATCGACCCTTCAAGCTCTTACATCGAAAATCTCTCTCTCTCTCTCTCTCTCTCTCTCTCTCTCTCTCTCTCTCTCTCTCTCTCTCTCTCTCTCTCTCTCTCTCTCTCTCTCTCTCTCTCTCTCTCTCTAACTATCCACTGCCAATCAATTTTCTGTCACTGCTTTTAGCAGCTTGGAACTTTCCTCCTATCTCAGCTAATTTAAATCCCCCCCCTCTCTCTCTCTCTCTCTCGCTCATTATATTTATCTATCTATCCATCTATTCATCTCTCTGACATACACATGCTTCAGAGAATCGTACCAAAATCCTTTAATCGGATCAGTCAGGGAGAGAGTACTTGTTGATGCTCACCAGTGAGACTCACCCGTGACCCCCACCTGTGAGACCCACCTATGAGAGAGCCAACTGCAAGAGACCCACCTGTGAGAGAGCCAACTGCAAGAGACCCACCTGTGAGAGAGCCAACTGCAAGAGACCCACCTGTCAGAACCAACTGTCAGACCCACCTGTGAGAGACTTAATTGTGAGAGACCCATCTGTGACAGACCCACCTGTGAGAAACCCACCTGTGAGACACCCACCAGTGAGTGACCCACCTGTGAGAGACCCACCTGAGAGTGACTCACCAGTGAGTGACCCACCTGTGAGTGACCCACCTGTGAGAGACCCACCTGAGAGTGACTCACCAGTGAGTGACCCACCTGTGAGAGACCCACCTGTGAGAGACCCATCTGTGAGACCCACCTGTGAGACCCACCTTTGAGTGATCCACGTGTGAGTGACGCACCAGTGACAAACCCACGTGTGAAAACCACTTATGAGACACCAACCTGTGACAGGCACACCTGTGACACACCTAACCGTGACACCCACCTGAGACACCAGCAGGTGACACCCACCTGTGAGACACCCACCCTTGACACCCATTAGTGACACCCACCTGTGAAACCCTTCTATGAGACACCCACCCATGACACCCACCTGTGAGACACCCACCAGTGACACCGAAATTGTGACACCAACCTGTATGAGACCCACCTATGACACACACCTGTGAAACCCACCTGTGAGTGAACTTACCTGTAAAGATATTCACCCCTGACACCCACCTTTGACATCCACCTGTGAAACACACCTGTGAGACACCCACCCGTGACACCCAACTGTGAGACACCCACATGTGAGACCCACCTGTGAGTGACCTTCCTGTGAGTGACTCACCTTTGAGACATCCACCTGTGACACCCACCTGTGACACCCACCTGTGACACCCACCTGTGAGTGACTCATCTGTGAGTGATCCACCTGTGAGACCCATCTGTGACACCCACCTCTGAGTGACCTACCTACCTGTGAGTGACCTACCTACCTGTGAGTGACTCACCTGTGAAACCTACCTGTGAGTGACTCACCTATTAGACACTCACCTGTAAGACCCACCTATGACACCCAGGCAATTTTCTAATAGTAGAATATCATCATTAAACATCTCCACTACTACCTTGTATTTTTTTATCTCCTTCACTCCCTTGTATTATTAATTTCCTTCACTCCCTTGTTTTACTTATCTTCTTCACTCCCTTGTATTATTAATTTCCTTCACCCCCTTGAATTATTCATTTCCTTCACTCCCTTGTTTTATACAATTCCTTCACCCCCTCGTTTTATTAATTTCCTTCACTCCCTTGTATTATTCATTCCCTTCACTCCTTTGTTTTATTTATCTTCTTCACTCCCTTGTATCATTAATTTCCTTCTCTCCCTATTATTATTCATTTCCTTCACTTCTTTGTATTATTAATTTCCTTCTTTATATTTTCTTACTCCTTGTATATTATTTCCTTAACTATTTATTATTATTTATTTATTACTCCTTATATTATTATTCATTTCCTTCACTTCTTTGTATTATTCATTTCCTTCATTCCCTTGTATTATTCATTTCCTTCACTTCTTTGTATTATTAATTTCCTTCACTCCCTTGTATTATTCATTTCCTTCACTTCTTTGTATTTTTAATTTCCTTCACTCCCTTGTATTAGTAATTTCCTTCACGCCCTTGTATTATTCATTTTCTTCACTTCCTTGTATCATTAATTTCCTTCACTCCCTTGTATTATTCTTCTTCATCATTAAATTTTCCTTCTTCACGCCCGCCTCTGTGCCGTTTCCTCTCTACTCTGTCCATGCAGCGGAAGAAGAAGAAGAGAGAACAGACAGACAAACTGGCAGACATAAAGACAGTCAAACAGACAGACACAATATAGAGAGAAACAGATGGAGACAGAGATTGACAGAGACAAACAGATATAGGCCAGTAAAAATTGACGAAGACCCAATCATTTAGTATAACAGCCATTTTTTGCGTTCATATAGTTCATACGGATGCCAAATATTTACAAAAATCAACCAAAATCAACCCTGTGGATCCTTATTTTTTGGCGAAATTATAAATGCCCACCACCCGAAGTGAAAATTAAAACATTCATTAATAATTTTTCAAATACGTAAGCACGAGGAGTTCGATAAAACCATATAAAAGGAGGTAGATCGTATTCATCATCAAAAAAATTGCATGTTTTTTATGAAACTATAAAATAAATGAATGCATTTTCATACTTAATCAATCTAGGCTCCCTCTTATTTTCTGTTATGTGTGGTTTGGTTGTGTACGTTTGTAAATAATAAACTAAAACCTCCAACTACATAAAGACACAATTTTTAAGCCATATAAATCAACTTAAAAGAAATAAAAGTACAAATATTGTTGAGATGCTCATCGAAAGTAGCATACAACTTCTCCTTATCAGCTGCTATCATCAAGAGTAATAATATTCTAAATCCCAACATAAAGATCAAAAGCTTACTCATACACAACAATGAATGGAGAATGTATTATGTGTTGAATGGTACTATGCTTAGACAAAAATTGGAGGTCCCTAAAACCCATACTTAATTTTTCCATTGCAAGTTTCAAAGTAATTTATGGGAAGCTTTGTGACTTTTCACATTTATTCACACGTAACTCATTGAGTTAGGTACTGGGAAAGATGAATATGTTGTCCCTCCTCTAATTTTCATTAATAATGGTACTTGAAAATGAAAGTGGGCCTCCATTTTTTTAAACATAATGTCGTAGACCCACTACTCATTATCATAATCATGAAAGGACGTATTGTTTGTACAATCACCACAATGGCCACGACATTTACAATGGACTGTGCAAGGCAGCCGTTTCTTTGAGCAAGTGCACGAAACACACAGGTTTACCTTGCAACTACATTTGATGTTGATTAATAGTTCAGGAGGAGCTGATGGCTTGTCTGTCATTATTGGATCGATTGATCCAACTGACTGACGGTTGTACCCGTACTCTTCAAAGTTGAGAACTGTTCTTAGGTTGAGCCAGGTATTTACTTTGAAATGAACTCTTAGACAATGGAATTGGCACGACCATTCAGTTGGGGGTACCCTCTCTATTGGGACATATCTTGTGGAGGACGTAATTTAGAGGTTTCACTAATTTAAGATTACTGCCTCATGGTCAAAGATAATAATGAAGAAATCCGTAAGATATGGCACAAAATGACGTCACTAGGGAATGTGGGTACCTTACAAATAAGGTATAAAAAAAAAACATGTTACACAAGGTTTAATTGGGCTGAATTTATTTTGGTACATAAATTACATATAAATACTAGTCATCAAATATAAAAAATCTGACTATTATGCTGATAACGAGAGCCAAGATGTGATTCCGTGTGAAACTGCAGTGATTTTTTGTATTATATAATTTAATGAAAAATTTATACTTTTCTGGTGAATACATACATGTTAGCTTCTTTATGATGGTTTTATTGAATTCTAAAAGGTCAAAAACATATAATTTTATATAAAAATTTAATATCAGGCCAGAGTAGTTGAAAAGTTATTGATGATTCTGTACATTGGGTTATCGTGTACATCTCTTCTGGTGGCTGCCATTTTTAATTATGACCGAAAAAATTAAGTTCCACAAGGTTGATTTTGGTAGTTTTTTGTATACGCTGACATATATGCCAATCATAAAATATTAAAATCTGGGAGATTTGGCTCTTAAACTAAATGCCTGGGTTAGGCCAAATTTATGTAAAATTTTACTGGCCTAATATACAAACAGGCAGACAAAAAACAGAGAGAGAAAGAGAGGCAGACAGACAGACAGACAGTTACAGAATAGAGAGAGAAACAGAGACAGACACAGACAGATAAACAGATAAACACAGACATAGACAGACAGACAGACCAATAGACAAAGAGAGAGAGAGAGAGAGAGAGAGAGAGAGAGAGCTATGCCCCTACCCGTAGCCACTCACTGGCGGTAGAAGACATCGATGCCTCACACAACACTCATTTCAATCAACACCAAACGTCACTGTGTATAAAGACTCATTAACAAATAATTAACAGCCAGGTAATTGCTGCATAATAAAGAGTTAATTAGCTGCCATAAAATATATATTTTTTTTAATGGATTTTTTTATCATTCTGGCGTTTAATAAAAATTTGAAATTAAATCTTAGTGAGTTTGGGGGGGGGGGAATGTTTCCAAAAAAGCGTTTTTAAAATTATCTTGATTTATTTATTAAAAAGGAAAGACGTTTTTATAACGTTTACTTATTTACTTCCTTCATTTTTGGGAAGAAAGTTGGATATTTTCGTTTTAACGAATATATATATATATATATATATATATATATATATATATATATATATATATATATATATATATAAATATATATATAAATATATATATATATATATATATATATATATATATATATATATATATATATATATATATATATATATACATATATATATATATATATATGCAAGTAAATCACTGCAGGTGCGCGTGATCCAGGAATATACTGATAACCACAAGGAAAAAGAAAACACGAAGTTCCCAAGTGCTTTCGCGTAATTCACATCTTCAGGGGTGAGTACAGACTAAGGAGAAATACATAACAAGGCATATATATATACGGGTTTTTATATATATATATATATATATATATATTGTTTAACTCTTCTCAACAAATGCAAGGATGTTGCCCCGTGAGAGTTACCGTGGGCCTCCATGTGCCCAGGTGGGATGGTCAAAGTATTACACTATAAGTGTGTCAAATGAGGAGTGACTGATCCACATGTAATTTAAGGTTTTTGAAATATGTGGTTAAATTAAACACGATTTTTCAAATAGTTACGCGAATGATGGGAAATAAAAGTTATAGATGGGGTGTGGTGGAATCATAGTGGTCTGGCCACAAGCGCTGTAAACGTTGTGTGGATTCACTGGGTGGTTTGGAAGTGTTTATTTCCATTCATACTTTCGTAACTACAACCTTTGGTAATTTTTTCTTCGTGTTCATATATAATGAAGATAACGCATAGTATAAAATGCCATATACAATATTTATACATATCATCATCTATACAGCCGTACTATGACTGTGTTGCTCGTGCGTGTTGCCTCGTGATAGTTAGAGTGGACCCCCGTCCAAAAAAAGAACACTGTACTAACCTCTAGCACCAACCCAGGTGGGCTAGAGAATATGGTTTCCGAGTGTACACCTATAGCTCGACTCATGGATCTTGAATCTCCCCTTTATGATGTCATCTGGCTCAAAATATCTCTACCAACTATGACTATTTTTCTTTGTCTCCTGTACTGTTCTCCCAACTCTACCA